ATTGAAATGTATACAATAGGTGAATATTTCTAATGATGTAAGATTACATTTACGTAAATTAAATAGGAAACGAAGAAAATAATTTTGAGCTAAGGATAAGATATGAATATTCGATTCCGATGCAGAACCCCAAAGAGGAATACAATAAATGATTTTTTTCAAATGTCTCCAGTTTAGGTGCCAATGTTGACTCAGGATTAAATTTGTATTACCCTATGAAATCAACAACAAGAGTGTTTAGTTTGCAATTGCAAAAATTAAAATTAATTAAAAAATCTCATTGGACAAGCGAACTCTTCAAACGATGATGCATGCGTTTATTCACTCGCGTTTGAACCGCTGCAATAGTCTGTACAATGGTTTACCTGAAAAATCAGGCACCAAAATATCTGATATTTATAATACTAAAAAAAATATATAAATATTATAAAAATATTATATATATAGATATATACTTCAAAGTTTCAAAGTATATATAGTATATATAAATTTTTTATTTATATTTTTGTGTCTTTGTGTGTGTGTGTGTGTGTGTGTAGTGTTTTATACTAGCTGCTTGAGCGCCAATATTTATGACGAACACTGAACACTTAAGTTTGCTTTTTATTAATAGATAACTGTAATTTTCTAAAATGTTGAGCGTACACACACACACACACACAAACCCATACACAAACCCACACACGCACAGACACATACATACAACCACATTTAAAACGTATCAACGACTTAAATTCATTTAAACATATTTTTTTGGTTGAATGGATAATTAGTTATAAACACATAGTAAAAACAGTAACAAATGCTCTTAATTACGGAATGACAGAAGCTGTGTGCAGAAGGATCCATCACGACACCATCCTTCCCACTCCACGTCACATGCAAGAGGTCATCTTCAACAATATTTCCTCTTCCTCTTTTTTCTCCTCCTTTTCTTCTGAGCCAAGTATCATAGATAGATAGATGGATGAATGAATGGATGGTTAAATAAATAAATGGGTGGATAAAGATATGAAATGATTGATAAATGGATGAATGGATGAGTGGTAGATGGATAGATGGAGGAATGGATAGGGGGGGGGGCGGTTGAATGGATAGTTTGTTGGATGGATGGGTGGTAGAAATAATGGATCAATCGATAGATAAGGGGCTACTGGATAAATAATTAGATATATCTAAATTGATGGATAGATAAATAGATGAATGAATGGATATGTCAGTGATATGATATGATTATATTGAAAGATAAATGAACTGAGAAAAAAGATGGATAAATGAACGATTAAATGATTAGCTGAGTAAATAGAATAATCGATGGATGAACAGTAGGATAAATGAATTAATGGATGGATGAATGAATGAATGAATGAGTGAATGGACGAATGGTTTGATAGACAGGTGGAGTGATGATGCGAGTTGATGAAAATGATAAAAAGGAATAAAACAAACACTAAATGCATTTCTGGCAAGGTACCACCGTCAGTTTTCCGTGCTTTAATTTTGATTAGATAAGATTTATGACTTATACCATATGGTTGCTAACGAGAATACAAAAATAAAAATATAAAAAGAAGTTCACAAAATGAATACATTGAACATAAGTTCAGAAAACATTTGAACAGCCACATTACAAATAAAGTTCTACTTTTAACAAAATAACAATACGAACAAACAACTTAAACTAATCAAACTAATAAAAATATACAAACTAATCAACCACGCGACGCAGCAACACAGATCCACACCGAACAAATCTATTCCTGCCTTAATAATAATGAAGCCGATTGCATCCACAACGATCCACCAAGGAATTTCCTTTGTATTTTTCATGATTTTTGGTGCATTTCAGTTTTATAAACTAAAAATTGACTTTCGGTGTTTGTCTTTATGTAAATACCATTACACACACACACACACACACACACACACACACACACACACACACACACACACACACACACACACACACACACACACACACACACACACACTCACACACACACACACACTTTAAAATCATTTTCACGAATAAACCTGTTTAAAAAACTAGGAGGGTTTTTAAGAGTGCATTTACAATCTCAAAAAGGAATTTTAGTTTAAAATATTAATATACTAATAAAATATTAATGTACTAATAGTAACTTTTTACACAAAGCTATATAAACAGAGGTGGGACTGAAGTTAACGATTTCAGGTCTACAAAACAATATGATTAGATGAGCTTTCATAAAGGAACAACTTTCCAAAAAAAAATTTGAAATAAAAGCGGAATAAGCCAAAGAAAAAAAAAGTAAATTTTGAAACTTTGAAAATTTTTCTGCACTCCAGACAAAAATTTTTCGTTGCGTCCCTGGTCCAGACGATTTTGATTATAAAATGTTCGTTATTCATATTATTGTGTTATCATTATTATTATTATTAAATATGTAACTGTAGTAGCAGTAGTGATAATGGTAGTAGTAGAAGTAGTAGTAGTAGTAGTAGCAGCAACAGCAGTAGTAGTAGTATCATTAGTCAGATCCATCAAAGTGGGCCATCCAGTTTTAAAAGTCTCTGACAATTTTGACTACAAGTTTTAAATTACTGGGTCAGTAAAATATTATTCATACCTTAGTGTTACAGGATAATATTAAAAATTGGCTTTCAATGATACTTAAATAATAATAAATTGCCGCTAAAAACTTATCCTCCGTTTCATTCATCAAGAAGTTATGATTCATCAGACACGCAGGGAAAAATCATTAGCCTACTGGTGATTTACCAAATTTGCGCGAGAGATTGGACAATTAGACGAGTGGTCATTGATCATAGGCTGACTGACATTTTTTTGCAATCCAGCACAATAACTCTCCTATGCATTCATGTACTCCATCCATGCTTCATACATCGAAAAGAACGTCTACCGTATTAATTTTATACGCTGGTAATTAATTACTAAAACCACAGCGATACAATAAATATAGTGTATTCAGAATATATATATATATATATATATATATATATATATTCTATATATAAATATATATTCTATATATATATATATTCTATACATATATATGTATATATTTTTTTTTCCAAAATTTTATTGACATCAAAGGCAATCAAGAAGTTATAATGAAAACTTGTGCTGATTACCTTAACTGAGGTGCAAGATGATCAATAATTGTAGAATTAAGCAATAAATCAAAATGTTATATTTAACAGAAATAAAATATCATAATCAACAGAAACAAAAACTGTCTACTAATAAAAGTTTGAGCAGAAATTAATTGTTATTCAAGTTCAGATGAAATGAAAAAACGAAGATAAACAAAATTCAGTAAGACATACAATTCTCAAAATTCAGCCAATTTCAATAACATCACTAAGTAAACTTTCTTTAACATAATTTTTGAACAAATTTATTGGCATAGTTCTAGCCTCAAAACTGACAATAGCATTCCATAGCCTTATTCCTCGAACCGACCAATTTCTATCATTTTTCCTAGTTCTACTTATAACAGAGCAAAGCATACCATTCTGTCTTGTTGATGATTTTGTATATTTAAAAGAGTTTAAAAACCTATAGTTTACATTGTTTATAACTTTATATATAAAGACAAGGGTTATATATATATTGATTTGATGAATGTTTAATATCTTATATTTAGCAAATAGTTGTTTAGTATGATCAGACCTATTAAAAAAAAGCAAGTGCGTAAAAAATATTTTTGAAGTACTTGTAATTTGTTTATTAGATATTTAAAGGTTGATCCCCAGAATACATTGCAGTAAATGAAGTAAGGGTAAAAGAATGAGTAACAAATCATTAGCATTGCGTTTGGAGTTAGCTTGTTGCGTAATTTGTACGCAACGACAATGATTTTATATAATTTATTAACTATCATGCGTACATGTTGCGTCCAATTCAAGTCATTTTGTATGAAAATTCAAAGAAACTTGGTTGATTCGACTCGTGACAAGGTTGTGTCACCAATTGTCAGGGATAAGTTAGTAAATATTTCATTATTAGTTTTAATTTTAGGTCCAAATATTATATAACTAGAATTTTTTAGATTTAAGACCAATTTATTTATTACATATATATTCTATATTCTATATATATATGTATATATATATATATATATATATATATATATATATATATATATATATATGAGTTTCGATTATAATTTATGATTCAAACAAACAAATGTGTTGCTTCTGAAAACAAAGATTTTATTTTGTTAAATGTTAAAAACAAATCCTTATTGGGAAAAAAACTCACCTAAAAACAAAGAAACGACATTTAAAGTTTATTATTTCACAAATTATAATCAGTTTGTCACAAAATACATTTCATTAAACTTTACTTTTAGGTTTTCTTTTAACCTCTCAACAAAAACCCCAGACAAAAAATTCGCAGTGTATTATCAATCGCGCAAAGCGCGACAAAATCAAAATCAAAATTAAAGAAATATAGTTTCTTTACATCTACACTCCCGAGAAAGAAAATTCACATGAGGGATTTTCTGCCAGAATCACACTTTTATCTATTTTTCTTCATTTGTATCCTCCTCAATTTCATCTTTTGTTATCTGTACTGGAATTAATTTTGAAATATGAAATAAGTTTGACTCTGTTTTCCTGTGTTCTGTATCTATCTCATAAATGGTATCTGATATTTTTTTCTATTTTATATGTTTTTTAACACCATTAATTGTAACTAAATTTTGTTCATTTACATTATTATTCTCGTTTTTTAATTTTATTAATTTGGAATTAATTAGAGAAACATTCGAACCTGAATCATACACTCCACATATCTCTAATTTAGAATTTATTATGAGTTTGACTTTAATTAATGGTTTTACTATTAGTTTTTTTGTTTTGTTTCATTTAACTCTGCTTCAATCACTGAATTGTTGACATGTTTTATATATCAGATATCTTATATCTTCTATCAAATTTATTATTATCTCTCATTTTAAACCAACATGCAGCCGTTCACATATTTTGCATTAAGTACGTTCCTCAATTTTGTTATATATCTTCTGATTTTCGTATCTCGTGTAGGCTCCATTCTTATTTTTATTCATCAAATGTTCATACTTTCTTACTTCATTGAATAAGTCTACTGTATCTTCCATTGATTGTCTATTTATCTTTTCTAGAACAAAGCCTGGCAATCCAGCTGCAATTAGATCCACTAGAGTACCTGTATCTATTGATGTTCTCATGTCCAGTAAAAGTTTTTCTTTTTTTATAGCATAATCCACCAATGAACCATCCTTGTACTTAAATAACAACGCATAAGTCACTTGGTTCCAGCCTTGATTTGCAAATGATTTACAGAATTTATTTTTCCATATAGACCACTCTGAGTTCAGTGTTAATTTTATAATCATAGAACTATACCAATCAGCGCAACTTTTGTCCATGAATAGTCTGAGTATCTCAATTTTTTTTCTCATCTTCCGTAATATCAAAACGTAAACATTCTTTTTCAAAAACATCAATCCACTGGCTTGAGTTAGTATTTTTACTTGTAAATCTTTCAATTATAAACTTTTCTGCAATATATTTCAGGTTCTGTTTTTTTAAATCTTGTGAGCTTTCAATAAATTTTGTAAATAATTTTTCCAATGAATCTGTATTTTTAACCTAAATTACCAGATGCTTGCTTTTGTTCAATTTCTTCGAGATATTGATTTCCAAATTGTAGATTACCATCTTCATCTATGTACACGTTACTTAGTTCATTTGTCATTGTAATCCAAATTTTTCTCGTCTGATGTCTTTTTTTAAACTATTTTTTATTTTATTGTACGCAGCTGTCTTTATCAACTCTTTATGAAGACTAGCAGACTGTAATTCTTCTGGAATAGCAAACACTTTTTCATCTCTTGTCGTTATGGAGGTTACACAATATACATTTGACTTTCCATCACTCGCTGGCAACACTGCAAATTCAAATCGTTGCTGGTCCATTTTATAATTCATTTAGGTTTCTCAATAAACGGAAATGTCGTTTTATAAGAGTTTCTATTATAATTTATGATTCAAACAAACAATGAAAACAAAGATTTTATTTTGTTAAATGTTAAAAAAAAATAAATCCTTATTGGGAAAAAAAAACTCATCTGAAAACAAAGAAATGACATTTAAAGTTTATTATTTCACAAATTATAATCAGTTTGTCACAAAATATATTTCATTAAACTTTACTTTTAGGTTTTCTTTTAACCTCTCAACAAAAACCCCAGACAAAAATTTCGCAGTGTATTATCAATCGCGCAATATATATATATATATATATATATATATATATATATATATACTGCTCAGATATATATATATATATATATATATATATATATATATCTGAGTCTGAGCAGTGGCACATTTCCTAATGGTTGTAAGCATGCTATGGTTTATCCAGTTTTAAAGAAAGTGAATATGGATCGAAATGATTTGTCTAGTTATGGACCAATTTCCAACATCTGTTTCATTTCCAAGATATTTGAACGAGTGGTTGCCAAACAGCTCTTGAATCATTTGAATGTAAACAACCTGCTACCAGTTCACTAATCTGAATATCGCCGCTATCATTCAACAGAAACTGCACTGCTGTATGTGTTTTCTGAGTCGTTTGCTGCTTTGGACAAACAACATGTGGCTCTAGTCGCGTTTTTAGATATGAGTGCTGCATTTGATTGTGTAGACCCTCAGATTCTCTTGGAAAAATTGGCTCATGATTATGGTATTTCCGGTACTGTTATCAAATGGTTCAGATCATATCTGTTTGACAGAAAGCAACAGGTATTTTTCAATAATGTGTTATCTAATGAAACGGTTTTGACATCAGGAGTGCCACAAGGTTCAGTGCTTGGGCCTATTCTTTTTATCATGTATACTGCTGAAGTTTTTAAAGTAATTGGTAATTTCGGTTTTAAATATCATGCCTATGCTGATGATATTCAGATTATAGTTAGTAATAAGTCGGAACTACTGCAATCTGAAATCAACAAACTTCTAACCTGCCTAAATAACATTGAAAATTAGATGTCAAACAATGGTCTTAGATTAAATCAGCAGAAGTCAAAATTTGTTCCAATAGGTACATGGCAGCAGCTGATGAAACTTAATATCGATTCAGTGAAAATAGGAGATGTTAAAATAGAATTTAGTGACAAAGCAACTAATCTGGGATTCATTCTTGATTCTAGATTATCGGTGCATGATCATATAAAGATGATAACAAATTCTTGCTCCGGACAGATTCGAGAACTCTATAAACTCCGTAAGTCATTAGATAAATCTGCTATTCATACCTTGGTGCATGCATTGGTTCATTCACGATTGGACTATTGCAATGGTCTGTTTTACAGTTTGCCATATAGGTCTATTTCTGCAATTCAATCTATTCAGAATAGAGCAGCCAAATTGATTGTTGGAGGTCTCAAATTTAACTATGTTACGCCAATTCTTAATGGCCTTCATTGGCTTACTATAAAAAAAAGAATTAAATATAAAATATGTATTTTAATGTCTAAAACTGTGCATGGCTTGATAAATAAAATAAAAGAAAAGTCTATAATGATGAGTGGTATGAACCTTAGATCAGATGATGGCATTTTGCTGGTTGTACCTGATGTCAATCTGCAGATAGCATCAAGAGATTTTGCAGTATCTGGACCAATGGTTTGGAACAGCTTACCGAGATCTTTTAGAACTAAAGATTTGAAACTTGATGATTTTGAAAAGAAACTTAAAACTTACTTATTTTCGCTTTGATTTTGTTGTTAAGTGAATAATTATTTGTTTGTTACTACCACCATTGACTGTACTTTTTGCTTTTTTGACATTGATTATCGATAGCGCTTTTGAGAACTTTTTGATTTTAATTAGAGCTTATAAATGTTTCATTATATATATATATATATATATATATATATATATATATATATATATATATATATTGGTAAAAGACCATAATTAATGCAGTACAAAGCTCTGTAGATTTCATGAATTACTGATAATATATATATATTATATATATATATATATATATATAATATATATATATACTGTTATATTGTTACATTATACATTGTTTGGTTGCAAATTGGCAAACTGTCTTTGCAGTACTTGTGCCAACAGTCTGAGAACCATCCAACGACCAACCGAAGGTTCTTTCAGGTACATTTATTTAAAGGTAAATGAATAAATATAAAAAAAACAAATAAATAAAGGATCAATTTCATTAATTAATAAACAAATGAATTAATTAAATAAAAACAAAATAAATGTATAATGCATTTACTTTGAGAGCATGCAAAATATTATTATGTAGATGATTTATAATAATAATAAAAACAATAATATAAATAGATATATAAAAAATATAAATATATAATAAACATAATAATATTATAAATTATTTTCCACTGTTTCGGTACATTTTTAGTTCTACATTCATGTAAAATTAAAAAAAAAAGAATCAAGTAAGCCCCAAATAGGCTCGCCTATGTTCAGAGAGACAGGCTGGCACTGCATGCATGCAAATCGCGCTGCCGGTACGCAATATAGACGTTATGCAAGTCGGTCGGTAGCGAATGGAGGCCGGTTGCGTTGATGACACGACGCTCCATCAGCCTTTGTTTCCTCATATGCAATAATATTTTCATTATTTTTCTACGGTCTTGTTTGTAGGATAATTTGATGACTCGCCAGGGCAGGTCTGTTGGATTTTTTTTAAGTTGAATAAATGTACCCGTGCATTCATTTTTTGGTTTTTATGTGTTTTAAAATTTTACAATTTTTAAATTTATTTTTTTCAAATAATTGCCTGAGAGCTATCAGAATAATTTTTAACTTGCAAATTAATAAATTATAAACTAACCATAATTATACATTTTTTATAAAATGCCCACAATTTTTACACTAGCGGTAAATTTCGAATATTTAATTTCTAGCTACCAAATCAATTTTATTACTGGAGATATAATTATGCAGAACAACAATATAATATAGCAATAGTTTGAAATTATGAAATCAATCCACTGAATTGAATTAAAACACGCTCGAAACTTAAAATTATAATAATGCAGTTACAACTCTTCAGTTACTTCAGTTTTTTTGTCAGCACAATCAAAACAGCAGCTCAGTAATAGAAAACAACGGCGACAACAACAACAATAACAACAACAACAATAACAACAACAACATACACAGCAACTAATGCAACGACTTCATTTTTGTGGTGACCACCCAGCGAAGAAACAAACGTCGTCATCTTTTCACCCCGACCACCAATCACCAGCCCTTTCAACCCTCCTTATCAAATATTCAACATGGATAATTGTAGCGCCTGATACGTTCATCCAAGTGCAACAATTACATTAATTAACGTCTCCGTTGTTATTCTCGTTTCTACTCGTGTTCCACAAACACCCTTGTACTTTTCGACATCGTCAACATTGAAATTATCAACATCATCATCATCTTCATCATCGTCGTCGTCATTGTTGTTGGGACTACTTTATAAGCACTTATTATGTCTGGTCAATTACGATCCGGACTAGGTGCTTGAGTATATTGCAACTCACGTTCGTTGACGATATATTAATGAGATGATGTTCTTCTTCCACTCATCCTGACCAACATTTTCATCATTTTCATCTTTATTATCATCATCCTAGTCATTATGGTACACATCTCGATAATTTCTTCACCAGTAGCTATCATACCACATCATAAAAACCATTCTAGCTCTCAAGTTACATATTATTGTCACATTATTTAAATTTTCTCATCATATTACAGTCGTCATCATCATCATTCATTATCAGTCGTTATCAGTCACCATCGTTTTACTCATCAATAGCTATCTTTGCTGCAGTCAGTCAACAAATTTTGACGATTCGGAGATAAATCTTAAAAAGGAAACGCCACTATAATGGTCTTTTTGTCGTTTATATCGTCATCATTTCTTCCACCTACATCATCATTATCATCGTCGTCATCATTATCACTAATCTCCCTGCTAATATTGTTCCACATGGTGGCCAGCATTCAATCTTCCAGACGAGAATTGATCCGAGGTTAGGCTGCATGTTCAGTTGTTGCCGCTGCTGCTGTTGTTTTTGTGCTAACCAATTCTTAGTGAATGAAATAATTTTTTAATAATCACTAAAATTCATATAATTGAATTGCTGAGATTCTGAATTGCCTAAAGTTCAGCCGTTTAAAAGCGTTCAATTTTTAAAGATTTGACCACAACGGCTTATTTTGTTTAATGATGAAACGTTCTTCAGAGGTTACAACGACATGGAAATTGTTTCCATTGCTTTGTTATGAAAATAATATTTTAGCTGTGCGATTTTAGTCTCTAGTGTTTTGTAATGTAGAATCAAACGTTCCAGCGGTTTCTAAAATTGAAATGATGTTTTCCAGGCAAGATGTAAAGAAAGGCTATTTTAGTAAAATTGATATTTGCGGCAGATGAGCATAAAATTTATTGAACATTTTAACAACTAATTTAATCTATTCAAGCACTTTCAACATCATGTGACCAACAAACAACGTCTTCAATACAAGAAGTGTTTCCACTCCTGCTTTATCCACCAAACATAGTGGCATCAAATTTATCGAAGATGACTTTTTGTCCATATAATAGTTTTCCTACTACAATTAAATTTAAATAAGTGTTTCAATTTTCAAATATTACTTTAAATAACGAAACAAAATGGTTTTTTCTAACAAAAC